AGCTCTTGTTATTTCAAGTTTTCTCTTGGGATTGTCTAGTGGTTGGTTTTCTTCCTCTCCGCCGTACAATGAGTTTGGCCTGGGATTGTTAATTCCGCATTGCTGGCCAGGACTTGGACTGTCGCCTTTACTCTGATAAAGTGCATCTCCTTGCTCCATCACTCCATCTCTCGGTCTCTGCCAGTCTGTCGGCCCGTTCGGCATGATAGCTTTCTGTAGTCATTTTGGTTCAATCTACATTGCACGTTTCTCCCCGACCTCTCTCCAAGTTCTGGGAACCTACTTATGCTTGCTCCTCAGAGGGTTGTTAGGCCAGGGAATTCAAATTCGCTCCTATGCTGCATCTTTCAGGCATGGGCATCAGTTTGCCCGAGGGCTCTGGCAATCGAATGCTCCGAGATTGTTCCTGCGAACTCAGGATCGTATTGTCCACGGAGGTGTGTCACGCTTCACATGTATGAGAAGGGACGCGAATTCGAAATACCTCTGAGGCAGCTTTGGAATCTCTTTGAGGCCTTTTTCTCGAGTAAGGCCTGCAAAGACCTTATTGGAATTGTGGGAATCGCCGTACGCTCCATGTCTTTTGTACAGATTAAGACAATGTCGTACAAGGGTGCCGTTTTCTACGACAACCGTTGGTCAGACCCTGGGAATTTCATCTACACTATCTGGTGGAACATTTGGGGCCAAATGGCCAGGTATCTTCAAAGGAGACAACCTATCAGTGCCTCGCACAAGTCGGTGGAGGAGCTTCGATCAGTGGCGGGCCGTGTTACAGATGTACAGAGGATGGTCCGTGAGCGGTGGAATAGGGAGCCAGACACCTCCAGGTGGTTAGAGCTCGTCGGAGATCTGATGGAGCTAGGCTTGGGAGTGGGATATGTGGAGCCTGATCGGTTCTGGCACATCATCGAGGGAATCTCCCCCATCATCGGCGCCATTAGGTCTATTCTGATGTTTGCTGACCAACATGGGTCGTTTGCTCGCACTGGGAAAGACCGCCGTCTCTTTCGCGGCCCATGCGCTCCCCACACTAGGAAGTGTGCCGTGGCAATGTTCCACGGAATGCAAGTTCACAAATTTAACGTGACGAAATCTTCGGAGGTTTGGGTTTCATACCTGATAGCAGCCTCAGAGAACAGGCTCCAATATTAATGGAGCGGGGTTTTATCTCCCCAACGGAATTCACTTCGGTCTGTTTCAAGACCACTTCGCGTTCTCTCCTTTTGTCCCCGCCTATGGGATTGGCTGACACCAGGCGATGTCACTTATGCGATTCTATCTGGGACCCGCTTGATCTCTGTGATCGTAGGGATACCGTGGCTTCGCAACAATCCCGTCTTCATCGGTCTGTTCCTGCTGGACTCTCTCTCGCTCCTTGCCCTGCCGCTTCCTGCAGTATCGGGCTCAAGATTCCGGTATGCTACGTCCCAAAGCGTCTGACCCTCACGTTTACTTTCAGGGGAAGATTTGCAGATCCAAACGGAAAGTCTGCTTCTTATGCAAACAAGACCTCGAAGTGCTCTCTCACTGCTCCACGTTGCTATTCCAAAGGGCGGTAAAGTTGCCAGCGCGGTTCCTTGTTCCGTCGGACCTAGGTGGTCCAGTCCTTACTTACGATTGGTGCAAAATTCCACTCTTCCAAGCGTGTCGGGACAGCGGTTTTAACAGACTGTACGTAAACACCAGAGGTCCCGATGATAGGGCGCGGAGAATTCCTTGGAAAGAATTGGCCGTTGGTCAGTAGCCGTTTTGCCTCAAACCTAGGCGGTAATCGGGCACGAAGCGGCTGAGACATCCATAAACCAGGGATGGTCAAGCGATTCTTGCCAGCGAAGCTTGAATCCAGGAAGCGCCTCAAGTGGTTCCAAGGTTCTGGTGGGGTGTGGAACTACTGCGAAGAGGAAAAGGTTTACACCAAAGTGTGGTACACAGAGTACTACGACACCTGGTTTGATCCCGAATCAGGCTGGCCGTACCCAGTGGTTTGGTACCTTTCAGACTACCGGTGGGATGGAAACGTCTTTGTGGAAAAGTGGCGCTGGAAGTATCCGTGATCACCTTCCTTGAGGCTGACTCAGTCTTACCTCTGGGCGTCTGCGGTGCATGGGCCTGCGGCCTTTGGAGGCCCCCTTTCCTTCTCGTCTCCCTCCCTTGCATGTCCCTTAACACCGATGGTGGGTCAATACATTTCGCAATCACCCACTGCATCCCACGTTTCGCAGTCTTGAATTCAATTACATCACACGTTATGGTTCAACTGGAGTGGGACTACACGGATGGGATCACTCGTTTTTCAGTTCTTTCTTTGTATGCCTCCATATCTTCTGGGTCAATGCGTGGTTGGGACATTCAATTTAATGGCTAGACTTCTTTCTGCTCCTTTTCTAGATCAGGCTATTGCTTTTGTTCTCTGGACTTCAAGGGACTCAACGAAAGTGCTCTTCATATCAATGTCTGGTTCACTCAAGTTAAGCAAGGTGATCGTGTTTCTCATTTCATGGTTTCTTCTCTCACTGACTATACATTTATTCATTGTGGTGGTTTTCATTCATTCAATATCCTTGGTTCAATTCAAGACGGGTTCCCTTCAGACGCGATTTCTCTGAGCTTCATGGGACTCATTCAGGTTCTCTTTCAAAACTGGACAGACGGTTTTACATTCAAGATTTCGTCCAGTATCATGGGTTTCAGTCTTGGGTTGGGATTCTCCTTTACTCTGTCCTTCCTTTCCCGCCTCGCCCGCTTCTCCCTTCTTTACCATACGCGTTTGGCGTATTGGTGGCCTCTCAGTCTTTGTGTTTCAGGAGTACCGTCCCCTTATGGCGCGTCATCATCATCATCATCATCATCGCCTCCCGGAAGCGGATCGCCGGCTTGCCCTGCTGGGGCGGGCCTGCTCTCCGCCTCCTCTGCCTGTCCCTTCCTCGCTCTTCCCCGAATGCTGGAAGCTCCAGGTCTGGACAACTTCTCAATCGAAGGACTCCGCTAGAGCAGCCCGCCGTTAGTGTGGCACGGTAGGTCGCCAGTCAATCCCGTCTCCTTCCCTCCCTCCTTGCCGCTGCCGCCGCTGCCGCCTCTCCACCTTCTGATAGCGTGATGGTGCGTTTGATTCGCTCCACCGGAGCTGCGCTCGCGGGGGATTCCCGAGCGCTGGGGCATGACCAGTCTACGGCCCGTTTTGACAGATACGTTTTAAGTGGGAATTCGTATCGGGAGGCCCGTGCTGGCTAGCGCATTCGCCAGACCGCAGGTCGACTCCCTCGTTCTCGTCCTCCTCTTCCTCGTCCTCCCTCCTCGTCCTCGTCCTTCTCCCCTTCCTCCCTGAATGTGGTGACGTTTACCCGGCCGGCCAGTTTACAGCCCTGCCGCTATCGAGTCATATGTGAACGCGGTTATAGCCCCCTTTGAAGGGAAGCGAATTTGGCGCTCAGTCGAGCTGGTCTTGCCCATGGACGGGCATCGTGTGCTTGTGTTCGCTGGGGGAGGAGAAAAACAAAAAAAAAAAAAAAAAAAAAAAAAACATCCTCCGGAGCCGCTGGATCTGAGAGATTATCGGCGTCACCCCAACATGCTTATACTATATGTGCGTCGCCCCCCCAGAGGCGACGCGCGCACAGAGAAATCTTATAGTATATGCGTCGTAGCGGGCGCTTTCTGGCCACACCGCTCGGGAAACGATCAACTACAATATTGGTACACACTATGTTTGGATCGGACCCGCGCCTCCAAGGAGGACATATAGTACTACATATGCCCTTGTGCCTCTTCAGATTTTATTGATCTTAGCCACCCGCTTTTATCCTCGTCCTGGCCTCGTCTTATGATGTCGCAGGGCCAACCGAAAAAAACAGTACGGCGCGGTCGGCGCGCCCTGCGGTTGGTGCCCCCTTGTGGTGGGTGCCTGGCGGTTGGTGAGGGCGGGTGCCTTACTGTGGAAGCCCAGGCCAAGAAGCACCTTGCTTGGCTCCAGGGTACCCCTCTACAGGAGGAATATTCAAAATGTGTGAACAACTAATATGGGGACGATGTTTCTACTGTTTGCGACTCTGTTTGAACATGTTTGGAGTATTTGTTATTCTTCCTTCAAAATCCGCCAGTAGGGCGACAGTTCCGACATGATGTTTGCCTCCAGTGTGCCCTGGGTTTCTCGGGGTTCGATGCCTCTGCGGTGGAGAGCGCGACGCTCCCACACTAGAAATCTCCATGGACGTCCTGGGGCTTCGGGGTCGGGTTTCTTGTGGAAGGCTTCTTGTGGTCGAGCTCCTACTGCACGGTAGAGGGCAAACAATGAGCAACACTTCGCGCGCGGCGCCTCCTCGCGCGGCGCGTCGCCGCGCGGCGCGTCGCCGCGGAGCGCGGTGGCTGCGCCCGAGGGGCGGCGGCGGGCGGCGTCGCGGGTCGGTTGAGGGGTACAAAAAAAGCAACGCGATTCAAACTTGGCACGGTAACGCATCGCCGCTCGGACGCGCAGACTCGGGAGATCCGAAGCCAACATTGCATTCGGGGGTAGGCTGGGGGAGTTCAAACGAGATGTTACGCGTGAGTGTTGCTTGATTGTTTCCGAGATCTGTGTTGCGCCCATGGTCGGCGTGTTTGGGCGAGTGCCCCATGGTTGCAGATGGTTTGCGCATCGGAAGTGCAATGATGTTACTATTCGAGGTCCACGCGCCAGTATCACGTACCACCCTGCCCAGGTGTTCCTATCGATCGCATGGCGGCGCACGTCGCACGCGTCTCATTCCATCAAGTCGTAAACACGTATACGGTAGGTTCGCGTCGTGCCGACGCGGCAGCGCCACCGCCGCAGGCTTTCAAGGTTGAACGCCGCCAGCGGCCCAGCCAGAATCGGCCAAGATGCAAAGATTTGGCGATCGAGAAGACGCCGATAGCTCAAGGTTGAACGATCCCCACGGCGTCAGAAACCAACGCCGGGCTCGGCACGGCACGATCCTGCCGTACGTGTAGGCCTCTCCTGGGCGATAAAAGGCCGCATCCAGGGAGACACCCTTGTGGGGAGCGTGTCCCGGGCCGACGTCGCCGCCGTGTGCGCCACCGCGGCGCTGGACCCGGAGAACAGAGGCGCCCGCGGGCATTTGCTCTTCATCAAGCAGATTTGCCGTGTTCGATTCGACTCGGATGCTCGATATTTTCGAGTTTCCAGGCCTCCGAGGTTTTCGACGGTCCCTGTAGGTTTTTCTGCTTCGGGGCGCGTTCCAGCAATTGCGCCTCGCCGAGGGCGTTGCAGGGGTGCCAAGATCGTCCCGAGCGGCCGCCGAGACTCGAGTTATGATCCGAAAACAGAGTGACCCTTCAGGGTCCATTTCGATCCGATCGATCCGATTCGATGTCGATTCCGGCCTGCCCGATCCGATTCGCTGTCGATTCCGGTTGGCCCGATCCGATGTGATTCCGATATCCCGGCGGTCCGATGCGGCCCGATGTTCGCATGGCGTTGTTGCGCATCTTGGCGCAGCCGATCCGATCCCATTCCGACTCCGCGCTGATGCAGGCCGATCCGACGCGCCATCCGATCCGATCCGATTTCCCGATTCGATGTTGACTGGTCTTGCCATTTGAGTGCTTTAGTTCCTCCTCGTCCTCCGACCACCTCCAGTGGGCTGGCGCACGGCCAGGATCTTCGGCTGCCTGCGGCGGTTCTGTGCTTGGGAGTTGCATGCAGCAGCGGTGCTGGGAATGTTGTGAAGCTGCCCTTTGTGCCAGGGTAGGTGCGACAGAGCTGTCAATCTAGGCTACACCCATCAGAATCTGGGGAAAACTCATCAGTTTTCATTGGCCCCAGATTTCGCTTAAGGAATCGAGAATCTGGACTGGAACCTGGGCGCTTTCTGGGAACTTGCTTGTTTCACAGAACGTTTGTACATCTGGACTTGGGCGACTGTTTAAGAAATCGTTTGGCGTGAAGTCCAGCGTCTTAGCGTAGAACTGCCCTCACTCTAAGCAGGAGTGTAGGCGGCCGTGCATGCACGTGCTGCGCAGAGGCCGAAGGCACGGCGGCCCGGAGTCCAGACGGCACTGTCCAGATGCAAGGCCTCGTGTAGAAGGCGCCTCTTGCGAGGAGGCACCGCCGCCTCCCCGCCTCCTGGAGGCACTCGTGTGGCGAGATGCAGCCCGAAAGGCCGGCCACATGCCAGTGGACTGTCATTTTTGGGCTGGTTTGGGGCTCTTGTTGCAAGGGCGCCGTCGAGGGCGCGGAGTTATTCGCGCTTCGCGGTTCGGCTCCGATTCCTCCTCATCCTCCTCTTCTCCCCTGGGGGCCGGCGCGAGAGCGCGAAGTTATTCGCGCTTCGCGCAGCGCGAAGCGCGAAGTAAGGCGCCCTTGTTGTTTTTGTTGGGCCGTTTAGGCCTTCTTGGGGGCCGCTTGGGGCCCTATCGGGCCGCCTTGTGGCTCTCCTGGGTCGTCTTGGGGCGCATCTGGGCCGTCTTGCTCCTGCGGAGGCCGTTTCGGGGGCCTCTCTGGGCCGTCTTGGGGCCCCTGTTCGGCAGTCTTCTGGACCTCTTGGAACGGGAGAGCCTCTGGGAGACCATGCGGGAGAGCAAACGCGGCACTCTACGGGAGACCATGCGGGAGACCATGCGGGGGAGTGTACGTGAGACCAGGCGGGAGAGCACATGGGACACCATACGGGGGATCACACGAGTGCACTGATGGGAGACCACGCGGGAGACCGTGCGGGAGACCGTACGGGTCTCTTGCGTTGGCATTAAGGCTTCCGAAACAGCCCAAGATGCGCCCAAGAGAGCTTCCGGACGGGCCCTGAGACCTTCTCAGGCTTTCTGGAGGTACAGAATCCCACCTGCGCTCCGGAGGCTTTTGAAGAGGTCACGCGATCAACCCCGAGAGCCCCCCAGGCGCGTCCAGAACTGTAGGGCTCGGGCCCCCTAAGGAGTACAGTGAACGGCTTGAATCAAGGAACACTTACTTTTCAAAAGGGGCTCGGTCGTTCCTTAGGTTTGCATGCGTTATGTATTCCTTATGCGTTATGTATTATTTATCGTTCCTTATGCGTTACCCCTGGGAAAAAAATGGCTTCGTTCCTTGTTTATCGTTCCTTAGGTCAGGCCGATGACTGTATGCACAATACCCATGACAGATCCCGAACGGACCTGAGGACACTCCACTCAGTCCTTACCGCACGGCGGCAGATTTTTTGGGTGGATGTTTGGATTTCTTACGACTTTCAGGGGGCCGAAACTTTGAGACCAGCCGTGCATGCGAAGTTCACCATCTCGGGGTCTATGTATGATCGCCGTGCATACGAAGTTCACCATCTCGGGGTCTATGTATGATCGAACGTTTTCGTGCCCCAATGTTGGACTGCACGCATGTCCCCCGCATCCGCGTTAATGATAAATTCCTCCTCGAGGTGATAGTTCTTAGGGTCAGGCCAGAGACGAGGACCGCAGTGGGCCCCGATGTTTACGATGAATGAGGTTCCCCTCCTCTTCGTAACTACTCCCCTCGTTCGCCTCTTCCCAATCAGCATCATCATCATCGTCATCATCAGCAGCATCATCAGCGTCATCATTATCATCATCATCAAAAACAACAAATGCGTCATCATCAGAGTCATCATCATCATCATTATCATCATCAGCATCATCATCACTATCATCGTAATCAGCATCAGTAGCATCAGCATCAACAGCAGCCATCATCATTATTATCATCGTCATCATCACGACCATCATCATCATCATCATCATCATCATCATCATCACCATCACCATCACCATCACCATCACCATCATCACCATCAGCATCATCATCAGCAGCATCATCATAACCATCCTCATCATCACCATCACCATCACCATCACCAGCATCGTCATCATCGTCATCGTCATCGTCATCATGTTCATCATGGTCATCGCACGACATCGTCGTCATCACCATCCGCATCTTTCTCATCAGCATCATCATCACCATCATCATCGTACACAGATTCATCACCATCAGTCTGAGCAGCATGACAATCATCATAACCATCACCAGCATCAGCATGAGCATCATAATATGTTGTTCATCCTCCTAATATGTTGTTCACATGTTTATTTCCCTCTTGCCCCTCTTCGTCCGCAGAAGAGAAACCTGCTGAAAGTGCGCAGATTCAAGTTTGGGGCGCGTGCAGTGCGGCCTCCCGCCAGAACCTAGTTTGGCGTGGAGCCGCTCCAGAAAAGGCCAGGGACCTTAGAGACCTTCAAGGTCGCGAAGGCGACCCACATCGGGTCCCTTATGCACGACTTGGTTGGGGGGAATATCTCGAACGAGGCGTTTATTTGGCACCTCCGCCTCCCTGTCTTCCAGAGCCCCATGATCATCACGACGTAGCAGGCATAGCATGGGGGCACCCCACGGGGGAGCCGCCATAGTTCAGGACATCTTCCCGTCCGCGCCCAGATTGTGGGGATGTCTCGACCAAGGCGCTTGCTTCGCACCTCCGACGCTGCTCCTTCCAGAGCTGATCGCCTCGATGCAGCAGGCATAGGACTTGTCGGAGGGGGGAGATGCGACACCAACACCACCAGGGGGACCATCTCCAGCGAGGAGGTCCACGAGGCCTCCCCGATCTGGGGATAGGGGATGTCTCGAGCGAGAGGAAGGCCACACCACCAGGGAGACCCCCCATTGCTCCTCGCATCTCCTCGCCCTGGTGGTGTTGGTGTTGCCTTTCCTTGTTCCTAACTTGGGCACCCCAAGGGGGGAGCCGCCGGGGGGCAGGGCATCTGCCCGTTCGCGCCCAAATGATGAGGAAGTCTCGAGCGAGGCGCTTGTTGTTGCGCCTCCGACGTCTCTCCTTGCAGAGCCCCAGGATCACTGCGATGCAGCAGGCCTAGCACTTGTGCGCCCCAGTGGGGGGCCGCCAGGGGCTAGGACACTTACACGTCAGCGGCAAGATGGTGGGGATGTCTCGAGCGCTGGCCAGGGCGCCCCAACTCCGTCCCGTGCGGAGCCCCAGGATCTCATCGCGATGTACAGTATAGCAGGCACGTCACTCGGGCGCTCCAAGGTGGCACCGCCAGGGGGTCTCACACATGCCCGTGCGCTGCCAGCTCGTGGGGACGTCGGTGACGTGGAACGCTGGCTTGGGCACCCCCGACCCCTTTCCTTTCGGAGGCCCTTGGGCACCCCCGGGGGGGGTGGAGCCGCCGGGGGGTCTCCCCCGGGCCCGCTCGCGGCCAGATAGGGTGGGGGGCGTTGGTGAAGGAACGTGCACGGGAGGCGTCAGACCCTGGAGGGCTCCTTCTCTGCTGCTGAGGGCGGCGGTGATAGCCATGGCCAATCCATGGTTGGCTCTCCACTGGCTTCCAGACCCTGGATTCCTTACCGAAGGTTTTCTTTTCCAATGCCGCCACCGCAGTGGGGACGCCTCACGCGAGACCGGCACAGACCTGCACAGACAGCAGCAGGCGTCGGCAGGCGCCAACAGAGGCCGGCGGGCAGCACCGGCACCACGGGCATCCCACATGGGGGAGCCGCCAGTGGGCAGGGCATCCGTCCGTTCGCGCCCAGATTGTGGGGATGTCTCGAGCGAGGCGCTTGCCGTTGCACCTCCGGCGCCTCCTGTTGCAGAGCCCCAGGATCACCGCGATGCATCAGGTCTAGCACTTTCCGGGGGCTAGGTCACCTACACGTCAGCGGCCAGATGGTGGGGATGTCTCGAGCGCTGGCCTGGGCGCCCCAACGCCTTCCCTTGCAGAGCCCCAGGATCACCGCGATGTCGCAGGCACAGCGCTCGAGCAGCCCCAAAGGGGGAGCCGCCAGGGGGCAGCACACGGCGGCAGAAAAAAGGCATCGCACGGCGGCAGCGAGAAGCAGAGAGGACAGACCGCTCAGACTCGAGCTTGCCTATACTCAGTCTCGCTCGCGCCTGATTGCCTCATGAGCAGATACTACCAGGTACTCTCAGTGGAGAGTGTGAGACAATGATGCGTACACATGGGGGCTCCCGCGTCGAATATTTCCTCTTGTTTCTCTGTCTCATCCTACGAGGCGCCAACAAGACGTTCGAGATGTACGAAGCGAGCAGCAGAAATAAACTGCTCCCATGGTTTGGAGACTCACCTTACACCGTCGATGGCCGACGAAGTTGTGAGGAGACCAGCAGTCAGGCAGGTAGACGGTACATGTGCGGCGGGGGAGGAGAAGGAGCAGCAGAGGCAAAGGAGCAGGATGATGAGGAGAAGGAGAAACAAGGAGGAGGGAGACACAGCAGGAGGATGAGTGGGAAACGCAGGAGGAGTAAGAGGAACGAGGAGGAGGAGGAGGACGACGACGACGGCGACGACAAGGGCGGAGCTGGGTGTTGAGGAGGAGGGGTAGAAGAAGAGCGAGGGAGGAGCAAGGACGGAGGATGATAGAGCAGGGAGAGCAGGAGATGAGTGAAAGGCGGAGGCGCAGTAAGATGGACGATGATGAAGAGTACGAGGGGAGGAGGCGGAGCAGGAGCTGGACGGAGGGGACAGGAAGGAGGGAGGAGCGAGGAGGGAGGATGAGGGATGAGGGATGAGGGAGCAGGAGGAGGAGGAGGGGAGGAGGAGGAAGAGGAGGAGGAGGAGGAATAGGATGATGAGCACGAGAAGGAAGCGCGGTGCGACAAAATGCTCCACATCTCCCCTCGGCACTTCTTGCACGCTCGCGTCGTGAATAGCCTAGGGCTGGCAGGAGTATCGAAGTTCGGCGGATTGCAGTTGGACGGGAACCGCGCACGTCGTCACAACACGCTGGCAAGGCGACGCGAGAAGGCGATTGCTGCATTATTTTTTGGCTTCGATTGTCCCGGAAGACTGAAGCTCGATGTGCACACCGTGAGCTCATTCAATTGAACAAGGAGGAACGGAATTCAAAGATGCAAGGCGAGGCACTAGCAATTCGGTGGTGGCCTGCGCGCCAGTGCGAGGAGAAGGAGGAAGAGGAGGATGAGGAGATGGAAGAAAGGAGAGAGAGGAGGAGGACAAGGATGTGAAGGGTGGACACTGGATCCACGAGTCAGGGCACACTCAGAGCCATAATCATGTGCTACATGCCCCCACTGCTTAGGTCGACTCCCGCGGAGGGTGTTTCCTTGGACACCATCTCTGATGGGGGGGGCGGGGGCTTCAACAAGCAGGGGCCCACCTTCCGAACTTTCTGCAAGGCCCAGGCCACTTGGCGCTAGCTCGCTCGCCCGCCGTATTTACACCTCGCGTGCCCCACCACCCCATCCAGAACCGATTGCTGGGCGAGTGGTCTTGAACAGGAAAGTGTAGAGAAACGCGGCGCAACAGAAAGCAGGGGGCAGTCGCCAAGCCGAAGCTCATGGTCAGCCCGAGCAGATCCACAGTGCCTCTTCGGAGCTCGCGCTGGATGGCCCCATCGGAGCGGTGGCCAACCTGCAGAGATGTGGCCCCTGTCGTCGCCAGCGGCGGTTCCCCGCCCGCCCGCCCGCCACTCCGCTTTTGCGGGCTGGGCTTTTGGGTGCGCCCGCCCATTGACCAGGGTCTGCCCACCCGCCTGCCGTTATAATGCCTGCCCGCCCGTTGCGGCAGCTTCGCGTCGTGTCGACCGGCGGCGGCCCCGCCGCCGGCGTTGAACGTTGAACGCCGCCAGCGACGCAGAATCGGTCGATGTTGAAGGATCTGACGTTTCGGGAACGGCCGATCGTTCAAGGTTGAAAGATCCCCGCGGTGTCCGAAACCAACGCCGAGGTCGGCACGATGTGAACCTGCCGTGCGTGAGGTCTGGTTGATGGTAGAGGTGGTAAGGCGGGGGCGCGGTGGAAGAGGGGGAGGGTATGGGGACGAAGGGTGGGACGAAGCGGAGAAGCCAGGGGAAGGAGGCGCAGGAGGAGGACGGAGAGGAGGAGCAGGAGGAGGAGGAGGAGGAGGAGGAGGAGGAGGAGGAGGAGGAGAGGAAGAGGTCGAAGGAGGAGGAGGAGGAGGAGGAGGAGGAGAAGGAAACAGGAGGAGGACGGAGAGGAGGAGGAGGAGGAGGAAGAGGAGGAGGAGGAGGAGGAGGAGGAGGAGGTCGAAGAGGAGGAGGAGGTCGTAGAGGAGGAGGAGGAGGAGGAGGAGGAGGAGGAGGAGGAGGAGGAGGAGGAGTCGATTCGGCTCGTGCGTGCTGGTTTCGGCCCCGCGTTGTTTCGGCTGTGCCTGCTCAAGCTCCTCCCGGGGCCAGAGGCCTCCGCCCGCGTTCCTCCTCCGCAGCCGCTCTCCACTTCCCCTGGTCGCCTGTGTGTGCCCTAAGTCGGGGGGGGGGGAGGGGAAACACCCCGACCCCGACAATTGAGCCAAGTAAAAAGCCGAGGTCGTCTTCGCCGACATTGGCGCTCAAGCTGCCCGCGTAAGGTCGCGCGTAAGTTCCCTCGTCTCCAATGTAGCGTGCCGCGCTGGAGGCCCGCGTAAGCCGCCTCGTAAGGTCGCTGTGCTATATCGCGAAAGACCCGTTGTTGATCGACGCTCATTTGGCGTTTACTAAACAACCCTGGGCGTTTACTAAACAGCTCTGTCCTGGCTCGATTCCTTCTCTGGGTGCGCTTACTAAACGACTTCCCTTGCCGGGATGCTTATTATGGGGCTCCTCCGCGGCCGCCCTCCTCTTCCCCCAGTCGGCTGCGCGTGTGCCTCTAGCCCAGAGCGGCCCGTCGGCTCTCCGAGCGCCCCTGGCGCCCGCCCTCGCTGCGGACCAGAAACTATCTCAGCCCCTCCTAGTTTCAGCCTGCTCGGGTAACGTACGCAGCTGGAGGAGGGGAGGAGGAGGAGGAGGAGGAGGAGGAGGAGGAGGAGGAGGAGGAGGAGGAGGAGGAGGAGGAGGAGGGAGAGAGAGAGAGAGAGAGAGAGAGCGAGAGCGAGAGCGAGAGAGAGAGAGAGATAGAGAGAGAGCGGCGCCGCTTTTCGTACGGATAGGTGAGTAGGGCCCGATCGCGGTAGAGTCCGGCTGGGACCCAGGAGATGTTGGACAGGCTGCGGCAGGACGAGGAGGTCACGGATGTTCCTGGCTTCCTTCCGTTCAGCTGAGTTGACCAGGGGCTGTAGATAGGATCCAGGGCGCCAGACCCAAAGTGCCGCGATCGTCGGATTGGAAATTGCAGCCCGCAGACGGTGTTGGCGCCTTCGTCGTGCGTGCAGAGGTGCAAAAGGAGTAGCCTGAGTTCGTCAGCGCGTAAGGGCGCAGCGATCTTGCTGCGCCAGGCAGTCTCGTAAGCTGGGCGAGCTGCCTGGGTACGCATGTGTGCTGCGTGTGGGAGTTGCTCCCCGATGCCTATAATGCCCTGGCAGCGACAACAGCAGAGACAGCATGTATGTGTGTGCCTTCCGCGGTCGATGAGCTGAGGAATGGATTTTCTAGTGCTACAATCCTCGTCAAGATTAGCCTCAAACATGTCTTACGTGGCTGAGCTGTTTGTGGGGAGACATTGGACAGAGTTGCGGTGACTGCGAGGTACTTGTATGCGCCGCCCCTCCAATGTCGGTCATCATCGAACTTCTGAGTCGTTCCTGGTCAGACCACTTTTGCCTTGGCCCCGACATTGGAGGGGCGTCTATCGACATTGAAGGGCGCGCCGACATCGCAGGGGCGTGGTCGCCATTTTCGAGGCTAACTTTGACGAGGGTAGTAGGTAATTCTACGAGTGGTGAGGAAGCTACTGGTATTGCTGGTGTTGCCAGCAGTGCAGTTGTATCTAGCCACGGTGTGCCCATCTATGTCGTGCCGTCGTTCAAAGCTCTGCACTGAGATGTAGTTGAAGCGGAAATGCAGTCATCGTCGTCTAATTCGCGGATGCTCGCCACGTCGGCGTCGCATGTATGATGATCTCGCTGCTAGATTTTGACCTGACCGAATTGGATTGCTGCTCTTGTTGAGTAGATTTTGCAATGTTTAAACTAGTTCGTTGCTGTTATGCGTAGAATGGATGACACTGGCGAACAGCACCGGCGTCGGCCTAGCACTGGCTGTATCGCTAAATCAGGTGCCGCGCTAGTTACTGTGACAAGAACGGGCTCCAGCTCGAGGCAGGGTATGACATGTGAAGCGCTTCAGTCGAAGGGGTCGCTGGCATGCCAGTCCGGCTGAACGCTTACATAATTCTACTCCGTTTCGTGCTGACCCACATGCAAACGAAAATCCTCTGTGTTCCCCATCGTCCTTGTAGAGCTGTTGTGAATGGTTGAGGGGCCCTTTGTGTCGGAAGCGCTGCATGTTCGAAGTCAGTTATCTTTGGCTCTTGACCCTATCCACTTCCTATACGAATGTCCCCAGTTGATCATGGTTCCACCTCATCCTTAGTATCGTCACCCTTCGAAACATGCGTTAATTGCCAGCCGAAGTGCGGCCCCCACTGTACAAGCCCACCCGCAGCTTGAATCGAAGGTTAACTGGTGATGCGTCTCTGGTATTGCCCCTCGACGTGCCGTACGCATCAATATGTATGACCCCTTTGTGCAGATTCAGTGCTTGCATTTGTTGCAGGAGCTCGCGAAGTACTGATGCAGGGCTCGAGCCAAATGGTCGTTCGTCGATTTCGTGGGCCACCTTCAATCTGGTTTCGTCGTGCAGCCGAGGCGGAACGAAGACAGCACGAGGGAACAGGAAGACATAGAGAAAACGGGAAACACTTTTGAGGCCGCGCCCTGTACTGATATCCAGCTTCGCTGCCGCGCAGGTCAGCTGCCCCGCTGCGTCAATTGGGGTGGGGGCAGGCGGCGGGTCCGCGGGGGGTTCGCCAGGGTGGGGGGTGGACCACGTGGCGTCCTTCGCTCGGGGCCTGGCCTCCTCCTCCTCCTCCTCTCTCCTCCCTCCTCCTCCTCCTCCTCCTCCTCCTCCTCCCCTCCCCCTCCTCCTCCTTCTCCTCCTCCTCCTCCTCCTCTTCCTCCTCCTCTCCTCCTCCTCCTCGTCCTCCTCCTTCTCATCCACTCTTCTTCTCCTCCCCTCCTCCTCCTCCTCCTACTCCTCCTCCTCCTCCTCCTCCTCCTCCTCCTCTTCCTCCTCCTCCTCCTCCTCCTCCTCCTCCTCCTCTTCCCCATTCCCCAGTGCGAATGCCAGCGAGTTCCAGCGAATTTCTCCTCGTCGTCCTCGACCTCCTACCGCTGCATTGGTTCCTGGCCTGCTCGCGTTTGGAGGCCGTGCGCAGCCGGGCGCGCCTGGGTTTCGGCCCCCCATCGGCGCCACCCTGCGGCCAGACCGCGGGGGCCGTGCGGCGATGCGCTGCGCATAGGCCCGCCCTGGTGATCGGCTGTTCTCTGGTCCTGGGTCTTGCCTTGATGTTAGGTCTCCTTGTTTCCGCGTGAAAGACCCCTTCTCACTACAGGGAGGCTGGAAAAAGTGGCTGGGGCCAGCCCTTCCACTCTTTCCACCCCTGGCCAATTTCCCTTTCATGTTTCCAGCCCTGGCGACCTCATCCTGACTTCTTCGTGCTCGTCGCAGCCCTTGCTGTTTTTTTACGACCCTGGCCACTTCCTTTTTCCCGGAAAGGGCAAGAGCCCAGGGTTCTCTTTGTACTAGGTAAACCTGTCCCCCGGTGCCTGCTTGAAGGAGGCCGGCGAATTTTTTCCCTGATAAATAACGAGCCGGCGAATTGCCGGCGAATTTTTTCCCTGATAAATAACGAGCCGGCGAATTGCCGGCGAATTTTTTCCATGATAAATAACGAGCCGGCGAATTAAAATTTGAGGATGTCTCGAGCGAAACGAGCTTGTTTTTCAGAATGGTGAGGATGTCTCGAGCGAAACGCTTGTTTTGTGTTATAGATTGTCCTCTCCTGGGGACCTGAATTCTGAGGACCACCTCCCAGCACGACCACCCCCCCAGCACGACCACCCCCCAGCACGCCCCCACCCTAGCACGACCATACCCCAGCACGACCACACCCCAGCACGACCACCCCCCAGCACGCCCCACCCCAGCACGACCCCACCCTACGACCACCCCCAGCACGACCACCACCCCAGCACGACCCCACCCTAGCACGACCCCACCCCAGCAAGACCACACCCCAGCACGACCACACCCCAGCACGACCTCACCACAGCACGAACCCACCCCAGCACGACCCGCCCCAGCACGACCACCACCCCAGCACGACCACGCCCCAGCACGACCACCCCCCAGCACGACCACAGCACCCAGCACGACCGCACGACCACACCCCAGCACGACCACACCCCAGCACGACCACACCCCAGCACGACCCACCCCAGCACGCACGACCACACCCCAGCACGACCCCCACCCACCCCAGCACGACCACACCCCAGCACGACCCCACCCAGCACGACCACACCCCAGCACGACCACGCCCCAGCACGACCACACCCCAGCACGACCACGCCCCAGCACGACCACGCCCCAGCACGACCACGCCCCAGCACAACCACCCCCCAGCACGACCACCCCCCCAGCACGACCACCCCCCAGCACGACCACCCCCCAGCACGACCACACCCCAGCACGACCACTCCCCAGCACGACCACACCGCCTTGGTTGAGTGGTTGCCTGTCGTCGTGGAATGTTTCGTGGGGTGTCTCGTGGAATGTTTCGCGGGGTGTCTCGTGAAATGTTTCGTGAGGTGTCTCGTGGAATGTTTCGTGAGGTGTCTCGTGGGCTGTTTCGTGAGGTGTCTCGTGGGATGTTTCGTGAGGTGTTGCCCAGTTGGGTATCATGAAAACGTGTCCATGCTCCACATGTCTATATCCCTTTCCGGGTTCGTGGGTCCATCATGTTGACGGGATTCCCAACTTCCACTTATCCAGCCACCTTGTAAACCGTTTAGGCATGGCCAAAATTGCCAGATCTAAAATTCGGAATGTGCTGCTGCAGACACACCTCAAACTCATCGCATGCTCTCCCGCACGCCCAGCAGCCGCGTGTGCCCGTCTTGTACACGCAAGCCTAATTTGGCCTTCGAGGGTCTTTCAAGGGAAAAACGATAACACAATCTTGCTGTTCCCATCCCTCCACCGCCAGAATATGTCCATATTCACTGCCGCGGTGTCGTGGCCTGGGATCTCAAGGAGTGGTGGATACGGATATCTGCCCGCCCGCATTGGCGGGCAGATATCCATATCCGCCGCTCCCCGAGTCCTCGGAACATGACCCAGCAGCAGTGGATATGCTCATATTCTGGCGGCGCAATCCCCCCCCTGCGTTTGAGCCAGTCCCGACCGCCCCATCGGGCGAGCTGCCAGGGACTCCTTCAGCGGATCGCCTGGTTGCTCCCCAGATCTGGGGGGAGCGGGGTGGCGTGGAGACACTCCTGACCGTAGGCCACCTCTCGAGTAGGGGATCGACTGCAGCATTGATTTGCCCCAGAATGGGGTTTCTCGTCGAATGCACGGCACATGCTTAGAGTTCTCGTAGATGATTCCACGTAGTTTTCGTACACGCTCGACGAGAAAACCAATTTGGGGGTAAACCAATTCTGTAGTCGATCCCCTACTCGAACCTCGTGGGAGGGGCGGGGGGGGGCACGGCGCGTTTTTTGTTTTGTTTTGTTCTCCCCCGTGTGGATCCTTGGAGGTATTCGGCCCATTCCCTAGGAGGCGCTCTGTAACAGCCCCAGGGCCCGGCGAGGGCCCCCAATAAGGCCCCAGAAAGCAAAAAAACACCCGCCGCTGATGTTTGCCACGACGCGAGGGAACGGAGGAGGAGGAGGAGGAGGAGGAGGAGGAGGAGGAGACTAGGAGGAGGAGGAGGAGGAGGAGGAGGAGGAGGAGGAGACTAGGAGGACGAGGAGGAGGAGGAGGACGAGGAGGAGGAGGAGGAGGAGGAGGTTCGACTCGACCTGAACGGTGTTTGGGCGATCTCGTGGGCCGTTTTTCTTTCGACTTCGTTCTGCAGCGAGGGGTCGGAGAACGAAGACAAAAATCGAGGGAGATACGAACGCAAGACGATTGCGAGCAGCACTGGCCTGGTCGAGCCCTGCGAGGGGGGGGGGGGGGCGAGCAGGGGGAGGGGGGGGGGGAGAGCGGGGAGCCCTGCGAGGGTGCGAGGGGGGGGTCGAGCAGGCCTGGTCGAGCC